AGGCTTCATGTGGGTAGTTAGCTTTACATAGCTCAAGGAGATTAAAGAGCAAAGGAGGTTTATTTCTCTAGTTGTCTCCATTTTGTCAAAGAACTAAATTCAGTCGATTGCCATAATTGCTAGAATGCAACATTATCACATTATTGAATCTCACAGTAAAGCATTTCCAAAATCTTTATAAAAGAAGCAATATGAAGATAAATTTAATTGAAATACTACATTTGTGGTATTGCCAGGGGAAACAAAAATGTACCTTTGCTAACTGGCCATTCAGAAAAAAATTTAAAATAATTGCAGCCACTATGGAATAATTTAGGAGACTGAAGGAACTGATGACAAGGGTTTTATTTAACATAAGCAAATAAACTGATTCATTAGTTATATCCCTACATCACATGGGCCACTGTGAACAAAACAGAATATTCTTTTTAGGGCTGATATACTCACTTTCCGTCTTTTATCCAAGCAGACTGGAAGTCTTTTATTTTCCAAGGCAATAACAATCAGTTAAGTGAGCCAAATTTACATTGATTCCAGGGATTAGCCTATCTATCATACAAGAAGAAATCTAGCATACGCATGTTGTATACACACTGGAAGTAGGTGTGCTTTGGAAATCTAACATAATTTGGCAGTGAAATATCAAATGTTTCAAAAAAAATTTGTGGATGCCATTTGCAAACCATAATAGTATGCTTCAATGTAATGCACGGTTTGTGTTTTGACTATGGAAGAATATATTTAATAAAGGCAACATACAGATATATTGATTGTTTAAAATGTGTTGAAATTCCCAGTTGTGGTATCAATAAACATGTTCCAAAATGTCTCTACATACAGCAGAAAATTGATGTTTTTTGCATTTGTAGCCTAGCAAATAAAAGTATCTTCACAAGAAAAAAATGAAGAAACTTATATAATAAGTAGCTCAACTTATATAATAGTAGATAAATGAAGAAATAAATTGAAGAAATGAAGAAATAAATGGAATAAATGAAGACTAAATGAAGAAACTTATATAATAAGTAGCTCATTACTTATATAATAGTAGCTCAAACAATAAAACTCAATTATAAAGAACCTTGTTAAATTATGGATACAACTGTGCTGCAGGGTAATGATATACAATAGTAAAAAACTATGTATCTAAAAATGTAGAGTTTTTATAGTTTTTCTTGCCTTTTTAACATAAAATCAGTATTTTACATGAGCGTGATTAAAAAGTTATGTGTGTATATACATATGTAGAGATTGTACAAATAGACACTACAGAGAACTGATTTTAAGTACTACGTGTGTGTGTGTGTGTGTGTGTGTGTGTAGAGTTGTACAGGTAGATACTACATAGAACTGATTTTTAAATACTTTTTTTTACATTGTCATAAGTCTAAAATTTCTGTAAGGATAAAAAGACAAAACTTTAATTTTATTTCATTAATAAGGACACTGAATCACTACACTGAATGAATAGAATCAGATATTCTGGAATTTACCAAATAAGTCAGTGACCAATGACAACAAAAAAACAGAAATTTAACTTCTAGGTCTCCATTTCCTAAGTCTACCTGTCTATCACTCATTTCAAACTGTGTTCCAAACCTAAAGTAAAGCTGCTCTTTAAAAATACTCATGGTAAGTTATTGTAAAATTATTCCTTTTCTTTCAATGGAATAATTAAATAGTTCTACATTTCTCCAACTAGTTCAAAATAATCAAAGAATTTTCAAACAAAATGGCAAATTCATCATGCTTTATGCCATTACAAAACCAATGATTCAAAAGAAAGATATAGCAAATGAAGTACTGTGCATGTGTGTGGGCCAGATATGAGGTTGATTCAGCTGGCTTGGCCTTCATATCTGGCAGCAATCTGTATTAATGCATTTCTTCTCATTGTTTTGATGGAGCCCTACTAATAACAGATTGATGAATTACATTTGTAAATGTCAGGCATAGATCAAAGGGGACTATGTTGGATGCTTATTCCATTTCAATTTATGATTTTTCACCAAGAAAACAAAACTGCATTGCACAGTAAAGTTCCTTATTTTTGCTTGAATTTTCAATGAGCAAAACAGCTGCAGAATAATGTGACTTAATGAGGCATCCCTAATAAAATATTAGAGAATTAAAAGCAGGGGCACTGAACTGTTTGCACTCTAGTTCTTTCATCTTTTCAAGTATACTGGAAATAACTGATGACACTTTGGAATATTCCTCATTTGAGACATGCATTAGAAAGCTCATCAGTAAATGTTACCTAGTGTCCAGTTACAGCTGAACTTGAGTACAATCTGACAATACTGTTTTTTAGGAGCCATGATAAGAAATACCTTAAAAATGCTGGAGAGACCCACCTCACCCTTTTTCTATAGGATAATCCATAAAACGCAATTAGTGCTACATCAACCTGAGAATGTCCTTTGCACATTTAAATACAAAAATAAATTTTAAGATGGTCATCAAAGCACTTTGTGAACCATATTGGATTCATGATTATTAGAATTTTCTGATGGGGCATAAAATAACTTTTCTAAAATTTTCTATCATCCCCAAAGTTTCATCATTTTATAAATTTTTAAAAAGGAAAAGTGGCCATGTCTAAAAACAGATTTCCTTTTAACAGCCATGTCATCACATTTTATAACTTGGTGGTTAGTAAATACTATAATGCAGTCTCTAAGTAATATATTTTCATTCTGACACAGATCCATGAGCAAGCTAAAGAATCTTCATTCTTCAATTTGTCATTGTTAAAATAGTTAATATTTTTCTGATTCAGAATCACACATACTCAGAAACCTTAGATCCCCCTCTAGCATAACTTGTAGAATTACATAGATGTTTCCTTTAATGTCAAGGTTTTTAGGTTCTTCTTTAAGAGACATATATCTTGGCATTATATATTAATATGGTTTTAAGCATCCTAAACTACTACATTTTAAAGGCCAGAAAAGATTCAAGATTTTCATCTCAAAATAATGCCTCCTTTGAATAAAAAACACTAAAACTGTATTTGTATTTTCCTCTTAGAAGATTCCCTGTCTAAGTATTCAGTTGTCAGTAAGACTGCTCTTAACGTTTTATATCCATAATTAATATAACTTAATTGTTTCAATTAAAAATTAGGAAAATGAAAATAAAATCAGCTTCAGTGTGGTTATTGATTGCCATTGAGTGGTTAGTGATGGCTTTAAAAATTAGGGTTCTAAAAAGGTCAAGATCCAATTGACTCAGGATGATATCCAGAGCAGAATAAAGTAGGAAAAGAGAATTAAATTAAAGATGCCTGATATTCTCTTTTAAAATAGGTACTAATAAAAAATTTAAAAGGAAAAATATTAAAGATGTTAGGTGTCAATTCCAAAACTGTAAATGATTTACCAATCTGAAAGTACATGTGCACACAGAAAAGCTGGAGTAAATACAGATAACCCTAATACTCTGGTCCCTTTTTAAGTCCTAGAAGTGTTTTTAATCTCCTTTGCTAGTTATTTTGCTTTATCACTTTAATTGGATATCTTAAATTAATGCCTCATTTTTCTTAGCTTATACTGCCTAATTGAACAGTTTTAAAGTGTCAACTGATAACAATCTATATGTGGACATCTAAAACAATCTAAAACAGTTGAGAAGACAGGAACTAGATATTAACCACCCAGTCAATAGTCATTGAAATTCATCCTAGCCTGAGTGAATAACTGAATGCTTTGGGGATACTTTTCAGAGAAGACTGTAGGGGCCTTGCCGGTTTTCGTGGGGTTTTTTTTTTTAACACATGAACAACTTGATAAAATTCAAGAAGAGATTTCACACTCACAAAAACAAAAAGGATTTTATTTCCCTCTCTTATGGCCACAAGACAAACCGCAGCACAAGGTGAGGAGAAGCTGTAGTAACTACCCCTTTGATTCCAGACGCTTCAGGCAATTGTTTAACACTGGGTCAGGAAGTGGAACCCTGAATAGGCAAGTATCGCATCCTGTCTACCCCAAGAGCTCTTCCAGAGTCCGTGATTCGCCCTTCTCAGGCAGAGACTGGATAGCTCAACCTGCAGTTCTAGGAGGAAGGGGAAGACGACTGTTCAACTTTCCTTTCAAGAGCAGTTTCTGGAAATACCACGTTCCCCAGTGACAAGTGAAGATCAGTAGCCTAAAGAAAACACCTCGTGGTAGACGCCTAGCCTTTTAGAATAGAAAAGGGAAGAGAGAAAAGCAGCTGGACAGGAAAACAGAGCATTAATAGAAAGATTTATGAAATATCTAATCAGAAAAAATGAAAAAGCATTAGTTTCCCTGAAGCTGTTCTCTTCTTCTGAACGCTGTTCATAAAAGGATCTTTTTTTAAAGGGCGCTTGTTAGCCTTTCCAAAAGCCCTATTCATTAATAAAGCGTCTGTTCCTAAATCTAAGTAAACCTTTAAATAGATGAGGCTCTGGAACTTACAGCATGATTCTTTATGAAAATACAGTTGTTAGAGGTGGAGAAATCAATAGCTTCCCTGAAACGCCCACCCTCTGCAGTCAGGCCTGAGAATTAACTAATCAGAAGTGGACAGAAAGTAGGGATTTCTGATAGGCGACCTGACACATTCCACTGATCTCTGATCCTCCCGTGAACGCGACCCCCAACTCCTAAGTAGGAGTTCAAAATGGTTACCAGCCAGGTTTGTTCTGGGTGACGGATCGAATTAAACCCCATTCAGTCCTCCACCGGGTCGCGGCTGTGTGCGGAGCAATGAAGCAGAAAAGAGAGGGAAGCCACGGCTCCCGAGTCTCCTTTGGCACCCTGGTCCCCTCTCGAGTCCCTCCACTCCGCCCTACCCGGCCCGCCTGCCAGAGCCTCTGCCCCATCCCTTGCCCCCTCCATCTCCCCGTAGTCGGAGCCCCCGAGAAAGGGGAGGAGAGACCTGTGCCCAGGGGGCTTCGTGCCCGCGGTCCCCGAGTGGCGCCGCGGTCCCCCAGAACCCCGGCGTCCGGAAGCGCGATCGCACCTGCCTACCTGCAGCCGGGCTTCCCGGTGGCAGCAACACCTAGCGAGGTCCCTGCAGCTTCCGCGGGCCGACGCCAGCCTTATCGCTCTCGCATCGCTTCCAAGATGCCAATCCGCCGTCACCATCCAGGGGCATAGGGAACCGGAGTCTGGCGGTGTGTGCTCGTGGAGGGCGTGAGTGTGGCCCTGAGCGTGCGTGTGTGTGTGTGTGTGCGCGCGCGCGCGTGTGTATGTATGTGTGTCTGTGTGTTTCCTCCTCCGATGGGAAAGAGGGTTCAGGAATCGCTTCACATCCAAACTGGAACCTCCCTAAAGCCAGTAGACGGTCTCTACCCGTGCCGGGTCTCTTCCCTCTTCTTTTCCCCACAATGTCAAAGTAATCAAAAGATCTCTTTGCGGAGGAGAAAGCCGGGGTCCCGCAGCCCTTGGCAGCGCTCGCGGCAGCCTGCGTCCTCGCCGGATGCGCTCCGCTCTCAGACTGCGAAAATCGAGGCGGGCTCGCAGCAATTACCGCCCTTATTCCATTTCTGATTTGTTTGCTTTTAACCCCGAGTGAAGACTTTTCCTCTCGCCTGGCGTCGTCTCCCGTTCACACACGCGCGCGCTCACACATCCTCGCTTCCTCTCGACCGCCCTCCTCCTCACTCCCCGGGGAGAGGCAATTGGACCGAAGGATTCACCTTCAGGGCAGCGGCCTCGCCTCTCACTTCCCGAGTTCCCCGGCTCGCGCAGGTCGCGGATCTCCAATGTGAAGTTCCTGGGGGTGCTCGGGGCCAGAAAGGAGAGGAGGCTTCGGGCTCATCCAGGGCCCCCCACAAGATCCCGCGTTCCTCGGGTTCGGTGCCCCTGGTCCGCGGTTCGTAGGCAGGTCCCGCTGCTGCCTTCTAGGAGACTTTGCGCCAACAACGCGAGTCCACTTAGCAACAACTCCTGGCCAGCTGCAGCACCTCTGTCTGGCCTCCAAGTGCCGCAGGCAGAGCCCCACGCAGCCCACCTGCCGCCCCGCTGGGCATCCTGTGCTGGAAGGAAGGGAAACCCTCTGCTGCACCCTCACCACTGAGTAGAGGCGAGTCCCAACATCGAATACAAGCGAGCAGGTGTCCCTTGTGTCCTTTCTACAAAGGAGGGAGGGGAGAAAGAAGGGAATGGGGCTCCTAGAAACAAATGCCGATCACCAGAGGAAAAAGAAGTAAACCAAAAGCAGTCAAAGCCTGTCGCGGCGTCACCACTCCCAAGGCGATGTATTGTCCAAATACACTAGGGGTGATCTTTAGAAAGTCGCCGTAAAGGGTAACCCCCCTGTTCGACTCGAGACCCTTGTTCCACCCAGGCTAGGTGTCCAGGGAGTACGAAGCGACTGGCCCCTGTGCAGAGAGAAGCAGGGAGAGAATAGGTGCCGACACTCCAGGCGGAGTTGCAGCAAGATGGGCTGGCTGGACCCGGCGGCGTTGCCTCCCTCGGTCTCTCTCTCTCTCTCTCTCTCTCTCTCTCTCTCTCTCTCTCTCTCTC